GAGAGGGAGGGAGGGAGCTAGGCCTTGAAGATGGGGGAGACCGGGAGAGAGGGGCCGGGGTGCCCGGGGAGGCAGGCGGACAGAGAGGGCCCCCGGGTGCGCGGAGCCCCCCCCCGAGGCGGAGAAACCCCGAGACTGGCCGACTTGGGGACGAGACAGGGCGACCGCAAAGACAAGACAGCGAGGGGGGCTGCGACCCTCCCCCCGCGACACCCCTGGACCCCGAGAGTGGAGGGTCCGAGACGGAGAGCCCGCGGGGGACAGAGAGGCGCTCGGCGAGGCTGAGCGCAGAGACCTTGAGCTCGGGGTGGGGGACAGACCGCGAGCGAGGCGGAGGGACCCCCGCAAGGAGAGGCAGCAGGGGCCAATCCCGAGGGTCCCCGGGAGAGGACTGGGGCCCCGTCCCGGCCGGAGGAGGAGCGCGGAGTCCAGGCGGCCCGAGGACGCGGGAGGGGGCGTCCCAGGCCGGGGTCCCCGGAGCAGCGGGCGGGCGCAGAGCGGAGCGGGTCCTGCAGCCGCCGCGGAGCCGGGAGCCGGGCCAGTACCCCCCCCCCGTGATGTCAGCGGGGCCACTCTTAAAGGGGCAGGCCGCCCGCCGAGGGTCGAAGCTGGGGCTGGGGCCCGCGCGCCCCGGACGGGGCCCCCCCAGCGATGCCCGGAGGGGGGACACGGGGGGAGGGCCCGGCACGGGGCTGGGCGCGCAGCGGGGACCCGGGGGCCTGCAGGGGCCGAGGGACGCCAGAGCCCTCGGGGGAGCCTTCAGAGCTTTGGGGCGCTTCCCCTCCAAATACAGGCACCGGCGCGCACCCCGCTGGCCGGCCCGGGCCTGGGAACTACATTTCCCAGCAGCGCCGGTGGCGAGGGGCTTGCACTTGGGGGGGAAGGGTCCGCCGCGGTTCCTGCTGGGAAAGGAAGTCCACTCGGACCGGCCCCCTACTCTCTGAGCTCAAGTGGGTCAGGGGAGAGGTGGGGCGGGGCCGCCGGCTCGTCTGCTGCCGGGCCCCCAGGCTCAGGGGTCGGGGTGTCCCCCACGGCCACACCTCCCCTCTCGGGGTCCTGCCAGGCCCTGGGGCGGGGGGTGGGAGTGCGTGTCCCCGGGCGCTGGTGCGTGACCTGGGCGACAGTGAGCGCCGTGTCCCGGCCCGGCCTCCCCGGCGCGCTGCGCGGTGTCCCGCACCCGGCCCCACGCGCCCGGCCCGCAGGCCCCGCACTGGTGAGCGTCGCGCAGCGCGGGCCCGGCTGTCTCGTGTGTGTGTGTCTCCTGGATGTCTGTCTCACTGTCTCTCATTCACTATCTCTGTCTCGCTGTCTCGCTCTCTGGGTCTCACTGTCTCTCTCTCACTGTCTCTTTCTGACTCTTTCACGGTCTCTGTCTCTTTTACTGTCTCTACGTCTGTCTCCATCTCATTGTCTATCTCACTGTCTCTGTCTCACTTTGTGTCTGTCTCTGTATGTCTCTCACTGTGTTTCATTCTGTCTCACTGTCCCTGTCTCACCGTCTGTCTCTGTTTCTCTCAGTCTGTTTCTGTATCACTGCCTCTCTGTATGTCTATCTCTGTGTCTGTTTCTGTCTCTCTGTCCCTGTCTGTCTCTGTTTCACTGTCTGTCTCTGTCTCACTGTCTGTCTCTCTCAGTCTGCCTGTCTCTGTCTGTCTGTCTGTCTTGTCTCTTTCCTTCCTCTTCACTCTCTCCCCCTCCCTGTGTCCACACTCATCACCTGTGTTCTCTCTCCCCTATGGTTGCCTCACGCTGCGGAATCTGCTCTCTATAGGACTCTGCCCTCTGGGTTCCTCGCTCCCTTCTCCCCGTTTCCCTTCCCTCTCTGCTCCCTGACTCTGTGGAATCCCCTCCTTCCCCTCCCAGCTCCGGTCTGTTTCTGTGTGAGCCCCTTCTCCACCTCAGCAGCCCCTCCACTCTCCAAGCCTCGAAGAAAACATCCGAACACACTTCAGCATCAGCATCGCAATTTATTCTCCGGCAGCTGTGGCCCGGGAGGGGCAGAGCGAAGAGAGGAGAGGGACAGACCGGGAGGGATGGGGTCGGGGAGGCCCCGAGAGTAGCAGGTTCACAGTGCGGGTGGGGGGTTCCGAGCAGAGTGGGAGCCATGCACTGGCGAGCAGTGATGGGTTTTGGGGAGGGGACAGCATAGACCGAAGCTGACGGGCAAAGGGGTATGCGGAGTGGAGAGAGGGTCCAGGAATCCTCCATAAGTCCCAGGAATCTTCAGGGCGAAGAGGGGGACTGCAGCGTGGGGGCCCAGCCTCCTCTTGCTCTTGACTCTGAGTGGAGGTGGGAGGGACCCCAGAGGTGGGGGCATGGGGGTGTCGTCCTGGAACCCCCCAAGTGTGCGCACTCGGGAAAGGAGGGACACAGAACCTATCAGGATGCAGCCTAGAACCCCATGAGGTTAGGGGTGCGCCCCTGGGGCCGGTTAGAATGGAAACCAGAATGCGCAGAAGTGGGGGCGGAGGTGCCAGGAGTCCAGTATAGCGTGATCCAGAACTCAGGGAGGCTCTGGAGAGGCAGAAATGCTGTTGCAGTGTCCAGAGCCCACGGGCAGAGGCCAGAATGCTGGGGAGGAGGTGGGGAAGTTGGGGGACAGTGGGGAAGTTGGGGGGACAGCGGGGAAGTTGGGGGATGGCAGGGAAGTTGGCAGGCAGTGAGGAAGTTGGGGGTGCTGGGGAAGTTGAGGGAAGTTGGGGGGGCACAGTGGGGAAATTGGAGGGCAGCAGAAGGGGGGGCGTCCGGCAGTGACACCTGGTGGCAGCAGGCAGCATTACATGACTTGCACCGGGACGGGGCTGGAAGGGCTGCGCGCGTCTGGGTGCACGAAGTCTGGGTTCACGTAGGTGAAGCCCTGGAAGTCGGCCTGGTCGATGCTGGCCAGGACCAGGCGGTCCGGTGGGGTAAGCGCTGGCGCCGCCCGCGTGAAGAACTTATCAAAGTTTTCTCCGCTGCGGCCACACTGTGAATAGGGGGAGGGATGGCAGGGTGGGGAGCAGGGATGCAGAAAGATGAGTCTTCCTATCTCTCTGGTCTCGCACACCCCTCTCTTGTCTCTTCTAGAATCTCTCTCCACACCTCTTATGGTCCCTGTAGTACCTTGGGGGTTGCCAAGGGGAGGCCCTGTCTTATCTCTACACACAGGGGCTCCCACCCCTGAAGGCCTGCCACAGCCAGCCAGCCAGAACCCCTCAGAGCTGGCCCTACAGCAGTTAGTGCACAGGAGGGGGTCCCATGGAGCAGCTGGTGGATTCGAACTGTGTGCCTTTGGGATTGCAGTGCAGCTTCTTACTAACTAGGCCAACAGAGCTCCCTGGCTCCAGGTGTAGTGCCATGTATACACACAGGCACACATGCCCTGAATAGGTCTAACTGCCCCTCCCCTCAGGGTCGAGGGTCCTTTCCCAGGAAGGCAGTGACTGACCGGGCGAGGTCTGAACGGAGGAGCTATCTCTAGTCTCTCCAGACGGTCCCAGTCAATCCAGCGGAAAAACCCATGAGCTCGGATGGTGGGCTCCCCGTCTGGCCCAGAGCCCAGACGCTTCCCCGGGTGCTTGGTCAGGAACTGTGGGAAGCGCAGAGAGAGAGACAGACGGACAGACGGATGGACAGAGTCCCAGACATGGAGACCCGGAAGGCAAAGAGGAGGAGGGTGAGGATGGTGAAATGCAAAGACTCAGACAGAGGGACCCAGGGAGGAGGGGACACAGCACGGGGTACAGAAATGGAGAGAGGGAGGGAAGAGGGAGACAGGGAGAAGAAATGAGAACAGATAACATGCAGACCCAGAGACCCCAGGGACAAAGGGATGCAGAGAAAGTAGAGGAGGAGAGTGGGAGGGGCAGAGAACCCATGAGAGACAGCCAGAGGGCAAGGGAGGTTTGGGGGGCCAGGAAAAACGAGAAAGAAGAGGGAGGGCAAGAAGAAAAGAGGGGAAGGAAGGGGGAAAGACAGACGGAGGGAAGGAAAGAGTATGGACAGTGTAAGAGGAGGTAGAGAAGGGAGAGGGGAAGAGGAACATGGAGATCAGAGAAGGAAAGTTGAGAAAAGACAGAGTCCCAGAGGAAGAAGACGTTAGAGGGCCCAGTGCCCAGGTTAAGAGACAGAGTCAAAGGTGAAATGAGATCCAGAAAATGAAAGCAGGCCAGAGCGAAGGACAGAAACCAACCAGAAAGAGAGAGGACAGAGACCCAGCAGATAAACAGAGAGTAAGAAAGAGAAAGAGAAGTCAAGTGTGTATGCAGTGGGGGGCGGGCAGAGGGTAACAGAGACTCAGAGACGCACCAAGACACAGAGAAAGGGGGACAGAGAAATGCAAAGGGGTGGATTGACAGTCAGCAGGCGACACAGAGAGAACAGAGAGAGGTGGAAAGGTCCCCCGTCATGTGCAAATGAAGGCAGAGACTTGAGGTGGGCAGACAGTGAGGCATGCGGAAGGAGCCTGGGGTCTAGAAGCAGAAGCATGCTAACATTTGTTGAAACCAGCCACTTTCTCATGCATGGACCCCTTAACCCATGAAGAAGAGACTGAGTGTTAGTGTCTTGGTGAAAAGTGGTCGAGGTTGGGACTCGCCAGACCCACCCAGTTCTGGCCTTCCAGCACAAGCTGTACCAAGCTGAGGTTACAGAAAAGGGAGCGTGAGGGTAGGTGACCCTCGGAATTGAATTTGTGGCAGGGCCATCAATTAACATTCTAGCAAAATCTGTATTAGATAAGCTGTGCTTGCAGGTGGTATGAGGAAAGAGAGTGGATTTTTTTTCTGATGAGCACCAAGATGTCATGTGTGCTTAGGACAGCCCTGGGTGGTAGCAATGGCGTGCATGAGGTTTCAAGAAGTTTGGGTCAGGGGAGTCTCACCCCCTTGCAGATGGCCACAGCTTCCCGGGAAAGCGACTTGGGGTAGGTGACTGTCTGTTCCATGATGGCCTGAAATAGCTCCTCTTCATCCTCCCCGTCAAAGGGGGGCTGAGGAAGTAGGGGAGAGGGAGAAAGAATCAGACTTAGAAAAACTACCACCTTCGTGCCCCACCACCCACTACCCCCCCAAAAAGACAAACCTGCCCACTCTCCCAAAGCTTCATCCTTCTCCTTTCTCCCACTCTTCCCCCTCTTCTCCGCTGTCTCAGCCTCTGTACCTGTACACTGTTCTGTCTCTCTTGATCTGCTATGCAAATCAGCAGGGTGTTAATTAGGCAATATGTCATTTAAATAGAAGAGAGAAAGGAAAACCCAGGAAGAAGAAAAAGAAAAATTCTCCAGGTGGGGCGAAGGTTGCCGGGCTTGTGGGGTTAAGAGAGAAAAAAAGAAAATTCCAAGGAATTTTTTAGTGGTTAGTGTGGAATCTGTGTAGACAATCAAAAGATAGCCCAAGAATTTGGATAAGGAAAAGGCTACATCTTTATTTATTTAACCTCTAACCTTGTTTTTTTTTGTTTTTATTATTATTAAATTTTATTAGTTTCAATGAACATTCACAGGGATTCCTTCATTGCCGCACCATTCTCTCCACCCTCCTCCCCAGTTTGTTCTTCTTCCCCGCCATCCGAATGTCTGTTTTAATTGTCCAATTGCCACAGTGCTTGTCAAAGTCAGTTCTGATTAATCTCCTTTGTCGGTGTGTCCTTTGCCATTCCCTATCACTCCTCCCTGAGAGAGACTTCACCCTGAGTCATAAGGAAAAGGGGACGGCGTATTCTCTTAGCTACTTCCTGCTGAAAAGGGACGCTGTGGGTTTCAGGGTGAAGATCTTCTCTCACTACTCTAAAGGGCCCCTTTGGCAGTAGGAAACACATAGACTATTATGGAGATTGATTTTGGAATTCTAACCTTATTTGTTGAACCTCAATCGGAAATGCAGCATTTTCTTTTATGAGGGGCATTAAATGACAAACCACAGTAGTAGTCTTTGTGACTTTATTGCTGATAAACACCAGAGATTCTCTTATCATATGAGAATGGTCGCTATCTCAAACTGTCAGTCATGCCTGCTTGAAAGTTGAGCCCTCAGTTCATCCTACTATTCATTTAATGCAGTCACTAAAAAGGCTCCTATCTGCCCACATGCCAATTTTTAATATGCAGATAACTATATTCATTTGAATTAAATCTGCTTAGTTGGCTATATATATTAAATGTAAAAGGTATGATTCAGATATTTCAGGATGGTGTTGTTTCTTTTGTAAATGCCACGCCATCTGTTTTGTTTTGTTTTCGGTTAATGTTTTTCACTTATTTGTGTTTTCACTTCAAAATATCCTGAGAAGAGGCCCATAAAAAACAGAGAGAGAGAGAAAGAGAGAGAGACAGAGACAGAGAGCGCTTGATAAAGCTTAAACTCATTGCTGCTTAGTCAACTGGGACTCGTAATGACCACACAGGACAGAGGAGAACTGACCCCTACGGTTTCTGCGATGGCGAATCCTTAGGAGCAGAATGCCACACCCTTCTCCCATAAAGAGTCTGATGAGTTGGAAATGTTGAGCTTCTAACCAGCAGAACTGCATTGAGCCACTCACCAGGGCTTCTTAAGAACTTGAAACAAACCCACTGCTTTTTTAGTCCCTTCAGACTCATGGGGACCCTATAGCACAGAGGAGAAATTTCCTGTGGGATTTCCAAAGCTGGAAACCTTTATAAGCACAGACTGTTTCCTATTTCTCCACAGAAAGGGCTGCTGGGCTCCAAGCACTAGTCTGGAGTTCAATGCTTAGCCTACCGACCGTCATGGTGCCTTTAAGAACTCTGTCCTACAGAGGAAGAGCGTTTCAGGACCGCGGACAGCGCTGTGAAATGCAGGCTTCAGGACCGTGGACAGGGCCACAAGCCCATAGTGCTGTAGGCTACACACCTAGCTGTTGTTGTTAGGTGCTCTATCCTGTGCCAGTTTTAGTGTTTCTGCCACACCTACCCCCATTACCCTAGTCACTGAGTCAATCTATCTCATAGAGGGTCTTCCTCTCCTGCACTGTCCCTCAACCCTCCCAAGCATGACGTCCCTCTCCAAGGACTGGCCCCTCCTTGCAACACGCCCAAATTATGTCAGATGAAGCCTCAGAATCCTTGCATCCAAGGAGCAGCCTGGCCTCACCCTCTCCAGGACGAACTTGTTTGTTCTCCTAGGAGTCCATGGTATATTCAACACTCTTCTCCAGCACCAAAACTCAAAGGCATCAACTATCCTTCTATCCTCCCTAGTCATTGTCCAGCTCTCTGATACATAACAAGTGATTGCAAAGACCATGGCCTGTATCAGGCGCACCTTAGTCTCCAAACTGACATCATTGCTCCTCAGTACTTAGCTATCGAACAGTATCATTGATATCACACACCTATATTCCTCCATTTAGTTCAACCTTCTCCTCAAAATTAAGACCACATAGGTTGCTTTCCTCGCTTCTGCACTTCCAGGCATTGCAAACTGAAGTCACAACTTAACATCCACCACCCTGAGGTCTCACTTTATCCCAGTTCACGCCCCTTCATCAAAACCCGGGTCCTACCTCCAAAAGGTTAGCCAAAGTCAAGTTCCTCCCAGCTTCACTTACCTGTCCTGCCAACATCTCATACAGGAGAACCCCAAAGGACCACCAGTCCACTGACTTCCCATACGGCTGATAGGCAATAATCTAGGTAGAAAAGCAGAAATCACTGTTTTTTGCTTGCCTCTCTAAAGGATGGTAGAAACGTCTCTGATTTCACCTGCTGGCAGCCACGTCTATTTTAAGTTCTCAACACCAGCTGCTCTCATCCAGAACACTATTTTTCCATCTTTCCTTCCTTCATTTATTTTTGTTTTGTTTTAAACATCAAATATGTTTCATTTTAGTGCAGAAAGCAGCAATTAAAAAGTTTCATTTTAATTTTTCCCCATTATGCATTTTCTTCCCCCTCTGCCTCTTCCGCTTCTTCTAGCCCTTCCCACAATGCACCCCTTGTTCCAGACTCATGCCACACATATAATGCCTAACACTGTATCTCTTTCGGACAGTTCTTCCCCTCTTCTGTTCCAATGCGGTGTTCATTATCGGTCCACTCTTTCCCCATTTTTCTCCCCAGCCACACCCTCATCTGTTTTATTTTTGTTAACAGCAGTGTTATGCAGTATTTGTCCTTTTGTGACTGATATACTTCACTCCGCATAATGTCCCCCAGGCTCCCCCATATTTTATAATGTTTTATGAGTTCAATGCTGCATAATATTCCATTGTGTGGATGTACCACAGTTTTTCTATTCAGCCACTGTTCATAGGGTTGCTGTGAGTGGTGGTTGACTTAACATCTAACAACAGTAACAACATCCATGCACATACTAAGTATAACTGTACTCTTCCCACTTCCTCTCATTCCCATTCTCCCTTTTCCTGCTTTCTGAACCTTTTTTGGGGGGCGGTGGAAAGGGGTTATGCTGCCCCTTTATTTTCATATGATTGATCATTCTTTATTTTTTAACTTTTCTGAGTTTCTTTTTATTAAATTTTATTAGCTTTAATGAACATTTACAGAGATTTTGGGTTTTTATTCATTCATTGTTGCACTGTTTTCTCCACC